AATATCAATAAAGCTAAACTTGGATCAACCATTTTAATAGACTCTAAAAAATATCTTTTATTAGTTTTTTCGCAACCATGTATCAATTGTGGCAATAACCAAATTTCTAAACGTACTTATATTGCTGATATGATTGGATTTTTAGTAAAATGTCAAATTATTTGTTATTTGTGTGATGAAACAATAGAAAATGATAACGAACCAAAAAATATTCGCTTTACAAAAGCAGTTTCAGCAGCAGCTTTAGCAGGAGGTTTTACTTATCCTTCATTACAAAGTATTTTCTTGTATATTGGAATTACTAGTCAAAGTTGTAGAAAAAATTATTATTTATATCAAACTCCATTATTTTCTTATTTGGTAACAAATGCTAAAAAGTCTACGACATTTTGGCTTGAGAAAGCTTTAGAATTTATGAAACAAAAAAATGTGAATTATTTACCTGTAAGTTTTGACTGTTCATAGTCACATGAACGTAATGCTTGACAAGCAAGTGGGAAATTGATTTTTCAAGAACCTATACCTGGTATATTATTTTATAAATTCAGGTTTAAGAGAAGTTCTATTTTTACCTGGGTTAAAGTTACCCGATATATATTTAATTTTTATGATACTATATAATATAAATTCATATAATATTGTTAAAATTTATCTACTCTAACTACTAACTAACCAATCCATAGAATTTTAGTTATAATAATTTGCATTATATAATATAATATATCGTGTGATTTTAACCTGGGAAAAAATAGAATTTCCCTTAATTTAATAATATAAAATAATAAAAACTTCTATGTAAATTAAAACTAGAGGTTTTTCACAAACTTGTAATTGCTTTCCATACTGTTGAAAAAGCACGTAGCATAAAAAATCAAGATACCGGAAAAACAATTAATTTACATGAAGGAAATTTTGAAAAAAGTTTACGGCAAATGGAACACTGTATACTTATCGCTGTTTTGAATAAAGTAGAACCTTATTTAGATAAACATGATTTTGTTTTGGAGATAGTTGTTGATGGAAACTTAGATACTAATAAAACATTAGCCAACATGCAAATCATTAGTCGAATATATGCTGATTTGAAGCATATAAGCAAGAATGTACGTAAGTCATTATGTAAGTAAAAATTTAATGATCTATATTTAACTTACTGAATTATTTCGAGATCCATCTATTTATTAAAAGTTTTATTTTACCGAGTAAATCTACCAAAACTTATTTTTATAACTAATCAGATCCTAAAAATTAAATTTTGATTGTTTAGCAAAATTTAAATTAGGATCAGTATGCGAAATTTAATTTTATGTTCTAAGAACATTTTTTAAATGTTCTCAAAAAATCACTAATTTAATATTCTTAAATAGAGAATACATTTTAACCAATTATGTTCTTAGTAGTTGATTAGTGTTCTCAGAAAACATTGAGAATATTAAATTTCGCATACTGGTTATACTAGTAAATTTTAAAAAATTTGACATGTCGAATGGCAACATTCGACTACTATTCAACTACCATTCGACTAGCATTTGATTGTCATTCAATATATCAAATGTTAGTCGAATAGTATAACAATTTGATCACTATTAATATCATCACATTATTTCACAGACATGCATGTCCACGAAATTATATGATAATATTATGCAATACTACATATATTTTTGAAATCAAATACGTAATATACTAGTAATTTAAATATGCTATTATTCAATATTATCATATAATTTTGCGGACATGCATGTCTGTGAAATTAAGCAATAAATTATATATTTGATTTCAAAAATATAATATAATTTTGCGGATACGTATGCATGTCCGTGAAATAATATAATGATATTAATGGTGATCAAATTGTTTTACTATTCAACTAACATTTGATATGCCGAATGACAGTCAAATGCTAGCTAAATTGTAGTCGAATATTGCTATTCAACATGCGAATTTTTAAAATTCACCAGTGTTAGAATAATTTAGAATTCGTATTTAATAGAATTATGCTATAATTAGAATAAATTTTAGTAAATTTATTTAACAAAATAAAACTTTAATTAATTATCAACGAAGTAAAACGTTTAATAAAGTATTAATTAGCAAATTAAGATATAAGAAATTAATTTTTTAGTACACCCAACATACCGAAAATTTCACAACTTCAAACAGCATATAATGCGTTATTTTAATAGTTGTGTCTATGCAGCTGAATTACGTAAAGATAATACTAATGAAATTACTCTGACCCAATCTCAACTTCAGGAAGTTCAAATAGATGGCCTAATATGTCATTTGCAGGATAATCATTCGCTGTGTTGGCCTAAAGTCTGTTGGATAAAAGATAATCAAGAATTAAGTATTCAAGATCCAACATTAAAACATTATTCACAAGTTCAAATTAATGAATTTCGACAAATGTTAGAAAAAATTTTT